TTTAATTATAATTTAATTTAGGTTTAGTAACAAATAAATTTAATTTAGGTTTAATAACATAATATTTTATAAAAATAATAACTAAGTATTCTGTTAGAACTTAATGATTATCCAAATTATATTCTAGATTCTGTAAATTTAATATGAGATGTTTATCCAATATTTGATTATATTTATTTGCGGTTAGTTACACGAATTCAAATATAGATCTTTAATAAGTTGTACTTTTGCACAATTTACTTGTAATCTTAAATTTTAAGTAATATGCATTAATAAACAGTACTTTGTGCATAAAAATTGGTTTTTAATAATTTTTGTTAAATAGTATAGATTATATTGTATAGATATAATATATATATATATATATATAATCATATAAGATTAGTCTTTTTTTGTGAGACTTGCGCGGCCACTTTATTACACTTGAAACATCAAAACACTGTTTTACAGTGTTTTTTTTTGTGAATGTTAGGATTTTTTTTTTACTTTCACAGTGTTTTGCTTTAAAGTTTCAAGTGTAAAAATGTACGGGCCTCATGAAAACAACCCGGTCTCACGTGAACCCAAACCCCCCCTATATATATGCATATATATATATATATAGTGTGTGTGTGTATATATATATATATATATATAGAGAGAGAGAGAGAGAGAGAGAGAGACATGGGATCATGTCTGTTTTCATGAGACCTGTGAGACCACATTTTTACACTTGAAACTTCATATCACAACACTGTGAAGGTAGGTAACCTTCACAATGTTTTTATTTTGAAGATTCAGATTTTTTTTTACATTCATAATGTTTTGTTGTGAAGTTTCAAATGTAAAAATGAGATTTCACGAATCTCACAAAAATAAGCTAGTCTTACAAGAACCCAACCCAACCCCTTCTCGCGTGCGCGCTCTCTCTCTCTCTCTCTATTGAGAAAATTAAAATTGAATTTAAATCATCTATATTTACATCTTAACGATTGATAATATTTTAATTTTATTATTATTTTTACGTATATAAGAGAAGAATAAACATAGAAATATAAAAATAGAATCCACAAGTTGAGCATAAGGCATCAATAAATGGAGCATTTTACAAGGAAAATACATTATGAAGAGCACATGTATGCAAATATAATGTTGCCAAACACTATATATATATATATATATATATATATATATATATATATATATACCCTCCCTCCCATATGCCTTCTTTTCTGTTTCCACATTATACACCCACTATATATATACATATACATATATATATATATATATGTTCAAAATTCATTTGAATGGTAAAAAACACACACAGAGAGTAGGTTAAAGTGTAGTTTCTTTGAGATGACCCCTGATCTAATTCATTAAACAAACTCAAAGTTTGAGACTTTAATTCAAGAAATTTAAATACTCGATCTTTGTTATGTCTCTTATCGGTAAATACTAATTAACCCTGTAAAATTATTTTCAATGCTTATCACTAATATTCTCGATCTTTCTTATGTCTTTTATCGGGTAAGATCGGTTATCTTTAATCACCATGATCACCCGTTAATTAAGATAAGTGACACTCGATACACGTTCAGTACACGGCCCTTTAACTATCAACACTCCATATATTTGCTCGATCTAGGTTCGAAAGACGATGAAAAACACAAAAATGGTAGATTATATATAAGACGAGAAGATCATCATTTTCATAGTAAAATAAACTTGATTTCTTATACAAATTGTACACAAGATTAAAGAACAAAATAACAAATAAAAGAAAAGAAAAGGGAGCCTCATCATCCTCAGTATACAAAACACCCCAACATTCTTCAAAAACTTCTGCTAGGGTTTTCTGGAGTGGGCTGGTCTTCTGTGTGCTACATCTGCTTCTTTTTTGTTTTTCATTTTAATTATATATATATATATATATATATATATTGTAAAAAATAATAAATAAGAAAGAGGAAAATTACAGTTTCTAAATTTAGAAAGTTGAAATGCATCTTCTGTGTGTAGGAACTTTCTTAATTTTCTGTTTTAGTTCCTCTTTCCATTCTTTTCCAATATCTTTTGAGATTTTTACTGCATCAGCAGAAGCACCAGCCAACCCTCTTCTTGTGAACCCAGCTGCATACAACCCTCCCTTTCCTTTCCAACCATTTGGAAATGGAGTTTTGGGGAATCCATTTTCAGCAAAGAATTCAGTTTCCTGAAATAGAAAGTCAAAGTTCCATTAGTCAAACTGATTCGGATGATGAGATGGAGTTAATTAGGGTTAAAGTTTGAAGCTTTATACTTACATGAAGCCAAAATGGGACGTTGCTGAAATACCCAGTTGCTAAAACAACTGAATCGATGGTTAGAACTTCACCGTTGACCAATTCGACTGACTTTCCGGTGAACCTTTTGATTCCGGGGACTACGTTGATGTCGCCTGATCGGATTTTCTCGAGTGCTCCGATGTCAAGAACCGGGGTCTTTCCGTGGTGGTTTTTGAGTGTTAGTGGACCTAACGATGGTCTTTTTATCCCGTAACTTTGGATGTTTCCGATGATGAACCATGCTAGAATCAGTAGAATTTTGTCAACTAGCCATAGAGGTAGCCATGTCATCAGCATCATGGCTAAATCGAATGTTGATTTCCCAAAGATCTCTCTTGGTAAGACATGAACCTGAAGATGTGAAACGATGAATTAGAATCTTGATTTCAATGGGTGTTGATTTTCTTGAGAAAAAGATTTGTTGGTTTTTAGGGTTTTTGAAGGTAACTTACCGAGCTTCGAACCACCATTGATGGCTTTGCATTGTGGTTAGAGAGGTCGAGAGACACTTCCATGCCGGAATTCCCACAACCCACGACTAAAACTTTCTTTCCTTGGAACTTCTCGCCGGATTTGTAATCTTTTGCGTGGATCACTTCACCGGAAAAGTCTTTTAGGCCTTCGATTTCCGGTACTACCCCTTCAGCATTTTCTCCGGTAGCTACCACAAGCATCTGGCAGATATACTCCGTTTCCGACCGGATTGATCCGATCGTCGAAACGGTCTTGACCCGCCAGAGCTTACAGGCCTCGTCAAACTTAGCCGACTGAACACACTCATTGAATTGTGGCTTGATGTCGAATTTTTTCGCGTAATTCTCGAGATAAGCGATGAATTGTTTCTTTGTGGGGTATTCGGGGTACTCTTTGGGGAAGGGTACTTTGGGAAGTTGACAGAATTTCTTAGGAAGGTGAAGCTTAAGGCGATCATACGTGCGCTTTTGCCAAAGGGAAGCAATGCAGTCAGATCTTTCAATGACCACAAAAGGAATCCCTTGGTCCCTAAGGCAAGCCGAGATAGCTAGCCCAGAGGGACCCGCCCCTACAATAACGGGGCCGTTGACCCACACGCATCGACGGCCAAAGAAGTCATTTTGCTCAGAAAAGCTAAACATTTTCAAACACAAATTCACAAATGAATAGAATGTGTCAAAAGTGCAACAAATTGGAGGGTTTTTTTTGGAAAGATTGATGAAGGATTTGGTTTAGATGATGATTGTTGTTGGAATGAGTTTTGAATGAAAGAAGATAGGGGATAGGGAGGTGTATATATAGGGTGGTATGGGGCATGGGGGGGGTAGGGGTGGGGTGGGGGGTGGCATGTGATAAGGGTGGTGGGGGCAATTAATGCATTTTGAAGGGTCACTCTAAATCATAAGCAAAACCATTATTTGACATTATTTATTATTTAATAAAAAATAAATAATTCAATTATATGATTTTCATATTATATTAAATAATTTAACATAAATCTTTTTGGGATTTACTTAATTTTTTAATCCTCATATTATTGTTTCTAGAAAGAAGAAAATGCAACAATTTGGGGGCAAAGGGAATGAGTGAAAGTGAGGTGTCAATTTGATGCTGATTGTAAAGAGAGTGGTCCCCACCATCCTACTCACAAAGGAGAGTCAATTGCTTACGTGGCAAGGCTGACTAGGATAGTAGGGTGTGCCACCATGGAGTTGAGTGGACTGTGGAGTTAGTGACCCTAGACGACCCACAGGGCTGGACCATGGTTAGCCACCTTGGACCATTGTTCCTCCTGGCTCATGTGCCCTTTGATTAAGATGGCTACTCTTACAATGCCCACTCTTTAATTTGCCAACTCATTTTGGAATGTATAACAACCACAAGATGATTAAATAAATTAAAAAAATAATCGGACATTTTATTCTCTTTAATTTACTATTCATTTTGATATTATATCTGATTTCAGTTTTTTTAATCAGGTTTAAATTTTTTCTTGAACGTATACATTCATCGATTAATATATATTGTATGAAATTTATCATCGTATGTTATTCAGTTAATGGGTGTATTTATTGATGAATATATGCATTGTATTTATAGATGAGTATATTCATCAATGAATATAAGTACATGATTCAATAGTATATTATTCATTTAATAGGTATGTTCATTTATGAATATATATCATATGAACCTCATTAGTGTATAGTATGTCATTTTGTTATATAGTGTGTATATTCATTAATTAATATAGAATACACCCCATATAAAGCAAAAATAGTTAAAGTAGAGGCAGGGACGGACCTAGAGGGGTGGTTGAGGTGGTACGTGCCATCATATTGTTCCATCGTGGTAAGGTAAAAATAATTAGGTTCGTGAAAGGTGCAACCGTTTTGTTTTAGAAGGTGCAACCGTTTTATATGGTGTCACCGTATCCAAAAAAATTTGGATCCGTCCCTGAGTAGAAGGTTGCAACGAGACAAAGAAGTCTCGCTCAAACTAAAAGGAAAATTCTATAAGGTAGGCAGTAAACCAAGTATGTTTAATTTATGAGTTTTGAGTGTTGGGAGATAACAAAATGTGTATGACAGGAAGTTGGAAGTGTTGGAAATTACGTTGAGATGGACATGCAGTCGGACTATGTTGGATACTGATATGGATATTGAATGAAGCATTTTAGGTAGTGTTGGGAATTTCACATATCACTGATAGTTGAAAGAGAAAAGGTTGTGGTGGTTTGGACACTTTGACATGAGATAAATGACGATGCAGTGAGGAGGGGCGAGAGCATAACAGTCAAGGGGGAGGGACGAACGGGCAAGCCGAGGAGGGCGTAGGATGTAACATCCCCATTTCCATCATACAGATATACATCATTCTAACCACATAACAATACGTTCTTACACCAACTCTTCAAACAAACAATAGATATCAATCACCAATTCTCACCACCAAATACAAACCTTGTAGTAGAAGTGTTCACATTCAGTAGATTACATAAAAGTGACTGAATTATCCTTGTTGTAAATAAAGATCCATACCTGTAAATAAAGATCACGTGTCTAATATCCCAATACCTTGCTCTTTTCATTTCCATTGCCGATATTCCTACTTCTTAGATGCATTTCACAAGTCAGCTAAATAGGCCTATGAGTTTCATGGTTTCCTGTACACATAATCACATGTACCATATTTACACGCATATTGTAAGTATTACTGTATTACACTATACAATGTAAATATGCAACATTTTTTTTATGAAAGACACTTTAAGACCTTGAGGTCTTATTCATACTTCTATGGTATGCATGGAAAACTAGTACTCCGTGTAGTTTGGATCAGATAAGAGCTATATGAACCTTATTGGCATCCCGATTGGTAATTACAAACACTTACTAAACACCATTTTATGCAACAAACCAAAGTAACCACTCCTTAATTATCATGCCCATATGTTTTTAAGTACATATAACATTTGTTGCACTGTAATATCACCACACACACACACACATATCATGTGAATTAAAGTATACTCCTTAGTTTCTCTCCTTTGAAGAACCTACATAGACATCATCAATGTGCTTAGGTTTATGTTCCATCTACATTGATTTGATATATATGACCTCATTGTGTTCGCGAAGCGAGACAACCTCTCTACCCTCGGTTAGACTTTAGCCCATGTTACCTTGACCAATGACTTAAGCTCGTGACCTTAGTTTAGCACTACGTCTTCCACGAGTTGGAACCTATGGCCTCATGCGACCTATCTGGTGACTGGTGTCTTGCACACCATTATACTTCTTTGTGACTCATGTTTGCGACCCTATGTGATGCATATATAGGTCGTGAATGTTGTTTGGTTCACTTAGTTCTCGACCCAACATACAATATTTTCACCAAAAACCCGTTATAAGTCAATGTTCTTGATTCTTTTACACCAATACTCCATATACACATACATTATGTTTACCTCTTAATAGTTCCATTAAGCGGCAACCTCTGAATTGTTAAGAAGTGAATCTTGTTTGGCAAAAAAAAGTCCGCCTCTTAATGGTTCTAAAACCCTCTGAATGATTTTGTATCATGGATCTCCCTTAACCATTAAGAGCTCTAATTTCATTGTATACAATTACCAAACAATTATATTTCATTTTGCACTATATCATGAGAGTCTCTTAATCATTCTGACCACTTAATCATTTTGCACCAAACCATTTAGCAATTCTCAAACTGCCCCTAACACTTTAATTGCATTTTCCCACTTCATTTTAATTTTATGCTTACTCCATATTACAACCTAAAATAAAAACTCCATTATCATTATGTGTGAGTAAAACTATTCCCAAAATTATTTTTCAAAATCTATTTATTACCACCTTCAAGTATTTAATTAGAATTTTCATATTAATATTTTGAAGTTATTTGTTTGAAGCATAGAAATTTATTCACACAAATATATATACACACACATATACACTAAAACTAATAATTCAATCTATATTTTAGTACCATATCGAATTATTAATTATATACATATATTCGTATTTAAACGACTTGATTGTTATATAAACTTGATTTTTTTACGAATTTAAACCAAATTGTTTAAAGTACTGTTTGTTTTTGAAAATATTTTATTTATATATAATATCAGTTCATATTTAAACGACTTGACTGTTATATAAACTTGATTCGAATCAGATACGAAAATTTCATATAATGATGTGGGAAGGGAGACAAATTTTCTAATATGGTGGGGTTTGATAATCTTTTAAATTTGGGAGTAAATTTATTAATTATAATTATCTTCTTTTTTAACAATATCATGATAAAATCATAATTGAGACATAATTATATAAAATTATATATATATATATATATATATATATATTTGTTTCTAGTTTTGGTTTCCATTATTTGGAAAAAAGAATTGAGCTCATTATAATTATATATTTTTCTCTTGAAAAATATATAATAAAAAAATCAATATTGTAAATGCACTAAATAATTATTTTTCTAAAGTTATGTAAATATAAATCCAAAACACCATTAAATTTGGTGGTTTTTCTTTCGGTCTTTCGAAGTAAACTAATAAGATTATTCGGCTGATTAAAATATACTAAATGTCAGTTATTAAATCATGATCTATCATTCTATAAAACCTGAAGTTTTAGATTCAGTTATGTTGAATGGTTAAGAATTTTTATATGAAAAGTTTCCAAAAAAGTGATCTTTAAAACTATTTATAACATGTTTTAATTTATGAGTCTTATTATAATGTAATTTAATTGAGCTTTTACGAAATTGTTTCATATGAATGAAACTTGTCAAGTTTTCAGTTTCATTCTAACAATTTTTTTTATTAACCTGGATATCCAACCCGCTATGCAAGCCGACTAATGCGACCATCTGCTTTGCAGATAGCCCGAAGTCACTGCATTTGAACATCCGTAGCCAGAAGGGGATTTTTATTCCTCCTTGGATTTGAACCCTAGACCTCCTGATACTTTTGATCTTTAAAGTCAAGCTCAAAACAATCAGACACTACTTTTGTGTTGTGGTTCATTCTAACAACTTACTGTAATGTATTTGTAAAGTTATATATAGAAAAAGAGTAAAATTACGTTTTCTATTTTTGTGGATTGTTAAAACTTGATTATTAGTTTACGTCCTTATCATTTACAATTTATTATTGCTTTCATCTCGTCTCTTGTACTTCAAGGTAGGAGTTAGACTCATAGACGAAAGTAACAATAAATTGCAAACAATGACGATTGACGAAAACCATAATAATCTCAAAACAAGAGGGACTAAAGTCTCAATTTTTAACAAATTATAGGGGGTAAAAACATAATTAAAAATAGAAGAATTAATCACCCCCTCATCAAATTAATAACTCCATTGAAAGCAATTCCAATAGCCTAGGAATTGGATAAAGCTGCTACAAACCTCGTTTCCATGGCTACGTAGTACTTGGATCATAATATATATATATATATATATATATATATATATGCATTATGTGATTTTGTGCACAATGCTTTTGAAGTTCGGACCAAGAACAATTCCCATGCATATTTACAACCGACCATCATATTAAAACCAAATTAACAACTGTTAAACCCCTTTTAATAAGCTCGATGCA